ATGGTCATGATTCGGATGAAGAAAGAGCATAACCAACAGATTCGGGCTCTGTTCAATCAACTTGATGAATCCAGCCGTCACAATATTGCTAACCAAAAATAGTTAGCGATTCAGATGTGGACGAACACCTCGATGAAGACAACCCTCCCAGTCACGGGTCACTTAAGTCTGACCCTTCTACAGTTAGGACCACAACCAAAATCCCCTCTTGATTCCTTCCATGAACGAGAGGTCCACTTTCAAATCGAGCGATCAAACCTTCCTACAGTTAGGGTCGTCTCAAACCTCCCACCTAGTCAAACCTTCCTACAGTTAGGATCACAACCAAAATCTCCTCTCGATTCCTTCCATGAACGAGAGGTCAACTTTCAAATCGAACGATCAAACCTTCTTACAGTTAGGGTCATCTCAAACCTCACACCTGGTCAAACCTTCCTATAGTAAGGACCACAACCAAAATCTCATCTCGATTCCTTCCATGAACGAGAGGTCCATTTTCAAATCGAGCGATCAAACCTTCTTACAGTTAGGGTCATCTCAAACCTCCCACTTGGTTAAACCTTCCTACAGTTAGAGTCAAAACCGTAATTCACTCTCGATAAACGAGAAACACACCTTTAGTTCGGTAATCAAATCTTCTGACGGTTAGGATTATCCGAATCTTTTCGATTCTTGGAGTGGAGATCTCACTTTTAGTTTCACCTTCCCGGATTCTGGAAGTGGAGATCTCACTTTGAGTTTTCTTTGACGACTAGAGATAGAATATAAAATTCTTCATCTTCAGCTTTGAGAGATAGAATATAAAATTATTTCTCTCCTGCATCGGGTTCGTCTTTGCCCCAAGAGAAGACACAATATTTCAACATTATAACTCTAAAATCCGTGCTTCACACGCACGGGGAATTTTATCCCGAATCCTAAGTAAAGATAAGTCAGCGCCTAACACGCGTTGTCGGTTTAGTCTTTCACCGATTGAAAAAGACACTAGAATCCAAATATGGAGAATTTTATCCTGAAACCTAAGTAGGGATAAGTCAGCGCCTAATACGTGTTATCGGTTAGCCCTTAACCGTAAAAAGAACAAAAACCCACATATTTGACATTGTGATAGGTTGTTATTAATAACACCAAAATCCACGCCTTACACGTGCAGGGAACTTTATCTCGACTCTTAAATAGAGATAAGCCTATGTCGAACACGCGTTGTCGGTTTAGTCTTTCACCGATTGAAAAAGACACCAAAAATCCAAGTCTAGGAAATTTTATCCCGAAGCCTAAATAGGGATAAGTCAGCGCTTAACACGCGTTGCCGGTTAGTCTTTGATAAAAACCCACATATTCGATATTATGGCAGGTTGTTATTGATAACATCATAATCTGTGTCTTGCACACGTGGGAAATTTTATTCTGAATCCTAAGTAGAGATAAGTCAACGCCTAACACACGTCGTCGGTTTAGTTTTTCACCGATTGAAAAAAACACCAGAATCTAATTCTAGAGACTTTTATCCTGAATCCTAAGTAAGGATGAGTCAGCATCTAACACGCGTTGTCGGGTAGTCTATTCCCGTGACAATGATAAAATCTATGTATTCAATATCATAGCGTCAAACCTAAGAGAATTCATTCTTTTAGCACAACGTTACATGCGGAACGGACTTAAACAATCTGTATGATAGCCCGACTCAAACGATAGTCGGTAAAGGCTCATCAAATCCGTTAAAGACTGAGGGTTTGCTAAAAAATCCTAAGTCTATGTCTAACACGAGTTATCGGTTTAGTCTTTCACTAAGTGAAAAAAACACCAGAATACAAGTCTGAGGAATTTTATCCCGAAACCTAAGTAGAGATAGGTCAATGCTTAACACGTATTATCGGGTAATACATTCCTACGAGAAAGATGAAGCCTATGTATTCAACATCGTAGTACTAAAAAAATTAACTCTTTTAACACAACGTTACATGCGGAACGGATCTAAAAAATCTGCATGCTAGCCCGACTCAAACGGTAGTCGGTAAAGGCTCGTCAAACTCGTTGATGGCTGAGAGTTTGCCAAAAATCCTATAAATACGATAATCACTGACACACCAGCTTCATTAGTTGCTCTCGTGACTTGAGCATCTGACAACCTCAGGATAAAATCCATACCTACAGATGAATTAGCTTTAATAGTTGGTCCTGCAGCCTCGATACTTGGAACCGTCACGCTCCAATATCTTAAGAGTTTAAACTGTGTAGACTCCAGCAAACGTACGAGTATAAACTGTGTTAACGCCGATCGACGCATTTTAGCGAAGGTCAACGACGGACAACGCGTTACAGTAAAGGTCGATGCCGGTCAACGCATCGACAATTTCGCTAAAGTAAGGCTAAGGAAAAAATTCTGAATTAAAGGATGATTCCAGGGAGTTTAATTGCGATCCAGATATGAATTTCCGATGAAGACGATCAGTTCAACGTCAACTCAACAACACGAGCTAAGTTCAAATGCTTATACACCAACTCGGCTCAAGATTTTAACAACGGCCAGACGATAAACACAGCGTCGGAAGAACATCATCTATTCGACAAAATACTGAGTGGATTAAAGACTGAAGAAGTCAAGAATTAAATCCATTCACAGGTCCTACCCGATCTCCTCTACAAAGTACTGAAGAGATTGAAAACCAGGCCTATCTTATCCAAAACATTCCAAACTCATATATAAAAGAATAAGTCTGAAATACTTTGGAGAGGTATCTGTAGGCATCTAAAAATGCCTATAGGTGTCTACACGTAGCTCGAGACGAAGAGAAGACGATGAACGTTATCATCCGAGTCAAGAAGGATTATCCGAGTGGCCCGCGCTTGTCGATCAGCTCCAAGTGACCGAACGCATCGGTCAGCCTCAAGTGACCGAACGCGCTCGTCAGTCAGCTCGGACGCGTCGGCAGCTTGCGCGCGTCCGTCAACTCCAAGTGACCGAACGCGCTCGTCAGCCAGCTCGCGCGCGTCGGTCAGATCTAAGTGACCGAACGCGCTCGTCAGTCAATTCGCGCACGTCGGTCAGCTCCAAGTGACCAAACGCGCTCGTCAGTCAGCTCGCGTTCATCAATCAGCGAAGCGTACAAGTCAACAAGACAACCAAATACGCAAATCGGCATAAAGTACAAGTCCGGGAAAGTCAAAAAACACCGAAAGAACTCAAACAAGGTTCGGAACCCGCGGCCCTCGTGGTGACCCACGCACGCGCGAGTCACTGTGGTCTGTCTCGCGCCCAAAGTTGTCCAGAACGTCCAAAACGTATTTTTTTCTGTTTTCATGGGATTTCTTCTGTTCCAGAGGTTCCCAACTGCCTAGATATCATCTTCAAGCGTGGTTACACGGTTGTCAATAGAGGATAAGGCCAAATCCGTCGTTCTTATCCGAAAACCCCCAACCAAAGCCTATAAATACAGGCCTAGGGGTTCATTTCACAGGGGCAGAATTTTATCAAGAGCGCGAGGTGCCGCTGGATTGAGTCAAAGGAGCACGAATTTACAACGAAGGCAAGTCAAGTCCCGACGAACTTCAACATAAAGAGAAAGGCTTTCGAAGGATCTGAACTCGTATTTCCTCCATCCGTTCCCTGATATTAGACTTGGTCTTAATCTCGAGAAGAGTTACTGATTTCTCTTGGTCGATTTTAGTGCTTCAAGCGAATGCTTCCTAAGTAGGAGCTCTGTTAATTTTCTGACAACCGGATCTGATCCGCGGTAACCCACGGATATCAACATCCCCGGCACAGGCAAAGATCTCACGCAAGCAAGAGTTGATAAACAGTTCTTGTGTTTATTTTCTAGAAAGTTGTAATCTTTATTTTTGTTATTTGAATTCATTGTAAACGATTAAAGTTGTAATGAATTCGATAATGAAGACTACTTTCGACAAAAACAAGTAAGAGATACGCCCTCTGTTTTCAAAGAAAGTGATCGTATGATCCATTTTGTTCCGAAACACAAAAATTGTCCCAAAGGATTAAATAAACCAACCTAACGAATTAAAAATTGTAACCCTTCAGATTAACAAATGGGTTAACTATGTTAATTTTTCTCCTCAATCCTTTCTCTCTAACCCTTCGCCAAACAGGGTCTAAAGGTAAGAAGATCCAGCCAGGCAAGAAACAAAGGCATAATTCCACCCAAAAAAAAGAAAAAAAAAGACATAAGCATAGATAAGTCAAACAAAGGCATACGATCCAGCACCTGCCCTCCAGATCCAGTTTGGGATCAGGTCAGATGGTCCGTTGCTTATTTAAATCCACACCCTACCATTAGAGTTGGTTTAAGATCAAGTAGAGGCGATGATCAGCATTTTGATAATTCCGTACCCAAACAAAAAGTTCTATTGGTTAGAATCTCAATTATCGAGTTACAATATAAATATTGAGAGCCTAATAAAGTCAGTTTAACCGTGCTAATATTCCCAGATTTTGATCATCTTTGAGAGTACAGGAGGGAAGGAAGGGTGTGCGACTTCCATTATCATCTACAGCAGCGTACTAATAAAGGATATTCTTAGTTAAAGCCAATTAGCAGTTTTGCAGAGAACTATAGCTTTCCCATACAACACAGTTGCTTGCGATCTGACCCAGAGTTAAAAACGAAATTAGAACTGAATTATCAAACAAAAACAATCTAAAACTATTCTCTAAACTGAATATAAGCTTTAATGTATGTTCAGTTCTGCTTGTACAGCAGCATGTTAATAAAGGATATTCTTAGTTAAATTCAATTACCAATTAGATCATCAAAAACACATGCAGAGAACTATAGCTTTCCCAGACAACACAGTTCTGTTTGCGATCTGACCAAGAGTTTGAAAAATGAAACTAGAACTGAATTATCATATAAAATTGATCTAAAACTATATTCTAAACTGAATATAAGCTTTTAAAACAATAAAACGAGAATACAATTGCAGCTACCATATTGTAAAAGAACCAAAGGGAGGACATGGGTGGAAGAAGAAAAGCAACTTACCTGCAAAGATACCGACAGTGGTCAGGTTGGATGCAGCCATCGTGTGGTATATCAAATATTCAGTCAGAAAATGACCAAAAGCATAGACAAAGGATAAGAAGGTTGCAGCGTACAGAGGTTTGTTCTCAAGGTTGAATGCACAAAGCCAACACAGAGTACAAGTCAAAAGCGTCCAAACTCCAAATGTTCTCCCATGAACATCAGTCACTACATTTAACAGTTATGCTCTGTGTTAGTAACAAATATAATCATCATCCATCAAACAGATTGTGTGTTCCCTTAAGTTACAAAATGATGCAGATTATGCCGAAAAAAGAATACACCTTTTAGCAATCAACTTTAAAATTTCAACACAATGTTCTTATAAATATGTTTTATTTTGATAGAAAAATAAAATACGTCTGAAGAAAAAAAAATCTCAAAGCAAATGCTGAAGAGGCTCTGAAGATGTAATGACATCATAGTCTTCAATTTCAAAAGAAGCATAGCATCCGACAGAGTAGCTTACTGCAGAAGCGAATTTACAGAGACAAGTCCAAGAAGTGATCTGAAGAGCTATTTGTGAATCATACATGGAGTTTTTTCCTTATAAAATCAGGTCCATCATTACCGTTAACAACAAGTAAACATTACATCTGCTAAGAATCACAATTCCATAATGAGAGATGAGAAGAAATGGTACATGATCTGTAAAAAATATCGATTCAATGTCAACATAACAACAACATCTATGGCGATAGCGGCTCCAACTTCCCGGCTAAGTAAACTAAGGGAAGGACTCAGGGAGAGACATGTTAGTCCATCTACTGAGTAGGAAAAGTCCATCTTGTCCACTATGCAGTTTAAACACTACGGCCAAGCAAACACCTCCAAAATGTTACTCTAACTCCAAATGGCACCAAAATCAAGAGACAGAATTGCCATTTGATAAAAACAAGAAAGCCAGTTTCAGGTTCAGATATCCAAGAGTACACAGTGTTTGTGTTGAATCCAACTTGTCGTTCACCAGTCCACAACGGGTACGAGTCATTTCTTCAGTTCCAACTCTCATTATCTAATAATTCTATAATTAGCGCATCAGCAGTATATTATCAAACATGTTTCCAGCTTTAGTCGGCATTCTTATGCTACTCTAAACCTATGCTAAATGCGCGCATTTGACATCCTTTAGTAACTTCTAGAAACATTGTCAATATTTCAGTAATCAAATCGCCACTACAGAAAACATTTCAGGAAAAGAGAATGCCAATTACAGGGGTGACTTACTTTTGCCAATTACAGGGGTGACTTACTTTGGGTTTGGGAGAAGACGGCGAGGCGAAGCGCCCAGATGTCGAAGAAACCGAACCAGACCGAGGCGAGACGCAGGGAACCCACCAGCATCAGCCACCATCCCAGGGCCCTCATTTTCCCGTTTTTTGTATGCGTGTTTTCTCGTTGAGGCAATTTAACAAACAGGTGATGGGCGAAAACGCGAGAGAGAGAGGGGGTAGATCTATAAGCTCAAGGGACACGAGTTGATTAAACAAATACGGGGTCGACCGAGACAGATGCCTCCGGCTCTGGGCTGGATTTATCAGCTGGTCTAGATCTGGCACCTGTGTACGTGGCACGCGCTGGTAGTGGAAACCTGTACGGTGTTTCTCATGAACAGCAGCGAATGGGTATTTATTGCGGTCACGTGCTAGTCCACGAGGTGATTACATATAGGGTATTTATTGCGGTCACTTTGATATCCTCATGGCTCGTCCATATTTCACTAGATTATATGCTATATTTATATTACGTACTTCCCATTTGAAACTCCCGTGCACTGCTATTGGATTGTTTGAATCCCTAGCATCTGGGTAAGAAACTAATTACACCGATTTAATAGAAAATTCACATCATTACGCTCTTTAACATTATTTACTAATCACAGATAGGTCCTCAGTAATTGGTTTATAACAATGAATCATCATATGACAAAGAAAAAGGTTTTCTAAGTATTACTCCCTCAAATCTTTAACATTTTGAAGTAGCCTTTCAAATCATTGAAATCCTTATTAGGTTAAATAGTATTAATTGTTTGAAAGCAGTCTATCTAGTTTAATACAGTTTAATCTTATGAGATGTTGGGGGGGAAATGCCCGGGGCCACGCTAAACTCCTAAAACACCAAGAAAACGCAGTAGAGAAAAGTACACCAAGGTTTAAAGAGGTTCGGCAAACTTGCTACGTCCTCATGAGCCACACAATTAATTTCTTATTTGTAAGCTGTCTAAAAATCACAACAGATAGCCAATCTCTATCAAACACCGATGATGAAAGTTACAATTCGACGGCTTCCAGAAGGCTACAATTTGAAGGCTTTCACGTAAATCGATGAAGGTTACAATCTGACGACCTTCACAACAACTGATAAAAGTTCTAATCAACAGTCTTCACAATCAACATCGGGAGTTACAATCTGATGACTCTCGTATTTTCAAGGAGCCAAGATGAAGATTACAAGATGACAA